TATCTCAGAAACAGCTCGCCAAGTCCTAACGACAGTTTATTCTGGCTCTAATTTATTTGGTCATAACAATTTGAAGTCAGCCTCTGCTTATTACTACACAGAAATTGAGCAATATTTAACTAAAACCACCTGTTATTTGATGTCTGTCCTTCCTATTGGTTCACGTTTTATCTGCTATCAGCTCATAACAGACATCTTACCTCACACGTATAACAGCCGTGCAATCTACCTGAGAGCTTGAGATAACAAATAAGGCTTTAGATGGGCAGTATCCGCCCCAACGTCGAAATCCTTACCGTTCTATATGGCATTCTTGTTCCCTTTCACACACAAAGTGGAAATATTATACACCCTATTCTCTTGAGTGTACTCTTGAAATACTTCAATCAGCCGTTAATTGCGCGTCCATCAGGCCCCCCTTTATAGCAATTTTGTGAAACAGTAAACAAGTTTTACGAGGTTGCTATAAGGGGGCCTGACGGACTGCCTCTATAGAATCGTTTGATTTCACGTTTGAAACGTTTAGATGGGCTTATTTTGCGTCGTTTCCATATTGATTCCCCGCTATAAGCGATAAAAGACTTCTTTTCGGTAAATTGTACGTAATTGTATTTGTACGGATAGTAAATAAATATTGCCAACACTTCGGGTAAGTCCTTTCATTATTTTAAAAATTAGGATCATTTCAAGCCTTTTTCGGCCGCGGGGAAAGATTGTACCAATGCAGCCTATCAGCTTGTCAAGGACTGGCACTGGCTTCATAACGAGACCTTGTAATGACCCTGGCAAGCATTTTTGTGCAGTTTTTGTTATTCAGCGAAACGTTAAGCACATCCCAAATGGAACAGCTGTCAAAAGATGGTTGAGATTGGTAGAGCAGAGAGCGGTGTTTTTGCTTATAAATGGTCTAATGCGCCTGAAATCACCTATAGCTGAGGACTATGTGCTTAGTCTAAGAGAAGTGAGCATCAATAGACAGGCCCAATAATTTGGCTTCATCAATCGGCTCTTGATCGAATTTCCATCGTTCTCCGGTTACATCTTCCCTGCATGCACTGCCCATAAATTTGATCACACTGCTGCCACACGTTAAATTATCAAAAAAGCCTCTGAATACAATGAAATAAAACGGCAGAGACGACAAACTAACAAAACAAAGAAACAAAACAAACAAAACAACAACCCGATCCCGGGTTTCTCCCCCTGTTCATATACGATATAAACACAAAAATAGTTCCATGTCTCCATTACTAGGGCTCTTTAGGGCCTCATTACCACATATGTGTTAGTATTATCAGGATCCCCTCGATCCTGTTCCAAACCCTAATCTACAGTCAAAAGTACCACCGTCGTTTTCATTGGTACCAAGTACGCCGATTCTTGCTTTGAAATGCGCGGCGCTGCTTCCAACTACGTTAGACCCTTCCTGGCTCCAATGGCTTTGTAAGGAGGCCTCGGAACCAATGAGTGTTCTCCAAGTGCTACAATGATCGATCCACGTTATTTCCCGTCGGCAATCCCTGAGTACAGGGAGCTGGCATGCTTGTTGATGACATGAACGTGATCTGTTGACGAATCTCATGCCGAAACAAATCTTAGTGAAAGTAGTGTTCCAATAGGTCGATAGCTTGGCCTCGTATAAATCAAACCGAGCCTCTCCACACACAATATTAAAGGTATCGTTGTTGATCCAAAGACTGGAATGATAGTAAACTGTTGCCTGTATGTGCGAAAATGAGAAACAAAACAGGATGGAAAGAAATTAAAAACAAAACCAAAACAACACACACACACACACACACACACACACACACACACACACACAAAACAAAACAACAAAACAAACAAACAAACAAGAACAAAAACACAAATAAATCATCATCATCATCAAAAAAAAACACAAAAACTAGTTGGCATATCCGGTACCCTGGTTCTTTTGTATTGCAGCTATAATGTCAAAGACCTAACCATCAGTTCTCAATTCTACATAGAACTATGTTGAAATGTTGACCTGAATTTCGCAAAGACAACACCGTTAAAGCTAATTGGCATTACCCAATTTCGAAATCTAACCGGGAAATAAGAAATAAACCAGTTTTTTATTTTTTTATTTTTTTTTATTTTTTATAAAAGGTACTTTAATCATGGAACTCAGATGGTGGAAGACGTGTGTTTTGATCTTAACAATATTGACTCTTATGAATTACTTGCAAAACACATACAGAAGACGAACGTTCTGGAATGGGCCGGTATACGTCATTCTGTACCACTCAATGGAACTCTAATCGTAATCCAGATTAAATAGCCTTAAATCTATCCTTTAAAACTGACAGCGGCCTTTTTGATGTAGCTAAAAGGGCAAGACAGTCAAAACAGTCGAATCCACTGTATTTACACGGCAACAATCCTGCTAGTGAAAACCTTCGCTAAGAAACTTTGGGAAGAAGCTCGGGGAAGAGACTTTCCCAAGTTCTCAAAAGTATCCATTTCAATTCCTTCCGAAGAACGAAAAAAGACAGATGAAATTGCAGCAGGCATGTCAGGAAATGTTTTAACGAAATAATTGAATGTGAATAAGTGCGATTAATTTAGTTGAATTTTACCGATTTTGCTTTCACTACACAACCAACCACACTCAGAAGTTACGAGGCACGGGAGCGTTGGTCAGCCAGGCCCCAAGTTACAGTAGAATGGATAAAGGTACACCAAGTAATATCTAACAAGCGCCAAAGCCGGACACATAATCCCAATAACTTCTAATTAGGAAAAACAGGAAAAGTGTACTCCCGACCAAATGCAGTGGGGCTACCTTCGGGGTTCTAAGGTTATCATATAAACAACAAGATGAAAGATAAATTAGATAACACTATTTGCACAACACTAGAACAACAAAATAAATAAATAAATAAATAAATAAATAAATAAACCCTATACGAAGTTGAGGGTGGCAAGGCTGACCGTAGAATGTCACAAGTTTCTCAACCGTCTTTTTTTTTTTTTCTACAAACGTACTAACCATAAGCCTTCGTGCACTATCAGGCCGGACCTTATCCCGATTTCTGTAGCGTGAAGCGACTAGGAGTATTTCTACTCCCCCTTGGAAGGGATGGTAGTCCATTGCAGGGTTACCCCCAGCATTAAATTCGTAGGCACCCATTTATACACCTAGGTGGAGAGGGGCAATACTAGTGTGAGTGTTAAGTGTCTTGCCCAAGAACTCAACGCAATGTTCCCAGCCAGGGCCCGAACATGGGCCGCTCGATCCAGAGACGAGCGCACTAACCATGAGGCCATTGTGCCTCCCTCAATGTCATTAGAAAGTGGCTTTAAATCGAGCGTTTTGTTATTCCTGCTGCAATTTCATCTGTCTTTATTTGTCTTTCAAGAAAAAAAAAAAANCTCTTTCGGTTAAGGCCAGGGAAAAAGCAAAGGGAAGAATTAAGCTCCGTCTGAAGCTATGAAGCTCTCTTCTCCAAGAGAGCTTCATCGACAGGCTAGAGAGGAATGGTCGTGCGGTACAAAAAAAAAAAAAAAAAAAACGAGATGAGAATTTGTCAAAGTTTTAAGGCGAAGAATACATTTAAGTCCCACTTAAAGTTTGAATGTAGATCACATGATCAAGCGCGCCTCATATCATGGCTATACACGCGGTGCAAGATGTAGCTAGATATGTGTTTCTGTCATTCATACTTGGAGGTAAGGTGTCTTTCTTCCTCGCCTTTATCCACGTATTATTAGGTTTCTCTTTCTTGCTCAGTAGTTCTGCCATTCCCTTTTTGCTATAATATTCTGCGATCATCCAGAACTGTCTTATGAAATTTGCTGTTCAAAAAAAGGGGCTAGGTGCAGTCAATTAATGGTATGTCAATGGCGACCCTCAAAGAGCAGGCATTACTAAGGATGTGCTATGTTAAGAAGAGGTAAAAAGTAATCAATTGAGATCTTGAAAGTTGACGATTGTACGTTGGTGCTGGCAGGGTTTGCATTGCACATGACCATAAAACGTTTTGGTTATTTTAAAACCGTACGTCTTGACTAAAAAAAAAGTCCAGATAGGTCTATAGCATGCTTGCACATATACATTTTAAGCGATAGAGCACCTTTTCCGTGTTTACATGGCTTCATCTAAACACGAGGATGGTTGGGAGAATTTGAGAGAGCTATGTCTCGCGTTTGCTTAACTTTCGAGAATTCTCTCAGTCCCCCTCTTCCCCCACCCCCTCCTCTCGAGTGTTATTTCTCAAAAATACGCGCGAATTTAAAACGTCACAACCGTGTTTCCATACTCTCAACTAAACACGCCTATCGACCAATGAGAGCGCGCGGAGTAGCTCAGTTATTTTATAAATATGCATACAGCAGTTTCGAGAAATTTCCAACAAAAGGTAACAGTCGAAAGGAATAACGGGTAGTGTTTACCAATGCATGATCGACGTTTACGGNGGGGGGGGGGAGGGAATTAACAATGAACACTTTGTGGTTGCGATTTCTCTTGCCCTCTACATTGAAACACCTTTTCGTTCGATATTAAACGATTGTAAACAACGTTTACCTCCATAGTACCTTTCGGAATCCACCTGTATGCTTTTACACTTCTTGAAAGCAACCTTTCTCGGAGCGACTGTATATCAAGTGCATTGGAATCGAACCTCGATTTTACGATCGTCGAATTAGAGATCGATACTCCAGATTTAACGATCAACATTCTGTGTCCCTGCAAAAGTTACAGTAAATTGAGCAGAATCCCGATTTAACAATATTCGGTTCAACGATATTCCCGGCATAATGATGGAAATCTGGCGACCCCAAGCATAAAGCTTTTCCCGTTACAGCAATATAATTAATATCACATACTGTAAAAGAGTGGCAAACAGCTATCAAACGCTGCACTAACTGTGAATGGACATGATGTTATTTTTTCGGCTGTTACATTTGTCCTTCATTTCTGTAAATAAAATACATTTAGTACAGGAATCATATTGCGGAAACTTATTGATTTTATTGATTACACTCGCAATTAAAATTTTATTATTGATCATATCCTGATATCATTAGTTGATGATATCGCGATTTCACGATATGATTTTGTTGTCCCCTTGCCATATCGTAAAACTGGGGTTCCACTGAACGTAGATAACATGCGTATACGAGTTTCACTGAATCAAGATGTATCCGATGGCTTTGATGGTCTTGTCTCCATTATCTGCTGTCCCCATGGCCGCATTGCCACAAGTGTTGGTGTCGGCTGGGTAACCTCCACTACCAAACCCGATTCTAGAATCACAAGTACCACAGTCATCTTCATTGTTACTGATCAAACCGATTCTTGCTTTGGCATTGACCTCAAAGTTAGCTACTGCGTTGAACCCTTCCCTGTTGCAATAGCTTTGCAAAGATGCTTCCGAACCAATAAGTTCTTTCCAAGTATCACGACCTAGTGAGGTAGCACGGTACTGCCCGTCAGCAATTAGTGAGTAGAGGGAGTTGGCATGCTTGTTGATAACAATGAACTTGATTTTCTGGCCGATTTTCATACCAAGACAGATCTTGGAGAAGGATGTATTCCAGTAGGTCGGTATCTTGGTCTCTTGCAAGTCAAAACCAGTCTCTCCTCCTTTCGGGTTGAGGGTTTCCCTGTTGCTCCAAAGACTGGAATCGTAGTGGAAAGTCATCTATGCACAAACGTGATAGAGTACCAGCATTTAGTAAAAATATATCAACCCTCGCGAGTACGTGTCATCTAAAAGCTCCACGGTGGGAGGGTATCCCCCCAGTCATGAGAAGGGTTTACGCCTTTGTAAGATTCTATGGGACGATTGCCCTTTAACAAGATTGCTTTCAAAAACTTTTAAAACTTAACTTTTATTAATATTATTTAGCTTCTAGTTTCATACTGAGCGACTTCTTAGGTTTTGATTTGCTATGCTATGTTATGTGATGTGTTATAACGCTACGTTACGTTACGTTATGTTACAGGAAGCTACGCTTTGTTAGACGTTGTTTTTAATCAATCTAATACATCTGTAGCTCTAAGTAAAATAAACAATAACGATAATAACTCTACCTTATCGCCATCAATTTTCATGACCAGCGTCCATCCGCTACCTTCGCATGCCCCAAGGTCATTAGTCATGTGGCAGTAAACATCAAGTTCAAGTGATGATCCCAGCTTCAG